AAAAAAATAAAACAACAACACAAAGAAAAAAACAACAACACAGATACAAAGCAGTTTTCAGAAATGGTTAAAGTGCGAAAAATTGTTATGAAAATTTCAATTAAAACTATTAAGTATACATGAGCATCATTACATAAATTTTTAAATCTAACAAAGAGTAAAAGACAGAGGTAGGCTGTACTTTCTGGAGACCGGGGTGCTCTTTCAAGCTCACGTGGTTGTTGGCAGAACTAAGCTCCTTGCTGCCACAGGACTGAAGCCCTGTTCTCTTTTGCTGTCATCCAGAAACTTCTCTTAAAACTCTTAAGATGCTCCCCGTGGCTCCTTACCGGGTGCCCCTCGCCCCCTCCCCCACCATTGGCCCCTCGCACTTCCAATCTCTGACTTCTCCAACCTTCTTTTCAAAAGCACAACTTCTTTTCAAAAGTCAGGTATACTCAGATAATCTTCCTTTTGATTAATTCAAAGTCAATTGATTAGAATCGGATCACATGACTGATAGTCCATCATATTTATTACACAGGGGTTTGAAATCTTGGACTCCATCTTACACATTTCTTACTGCAGTGGAAACATCTTTGCTATTTTTATTTTACCTCCATCACTGCTACATTTTTGCCTTTACATACCACACGTTTGAGATAATATTAACTTCAACAACAACTCGGGATGGTGTAAAGAAGTAATATTATCACATTGAAATAATTACGTTTTGATCACATTACATCATTAATTTCTTTTGAAGTGTTGGTTTGTATAAAATCACAAAAAAAGATGAACATGTTTAAAGCGGAACCATTACCTCTATTTCCTTGAAGTATCTGGTCCTAATTTAAAAATCATTCTGAGTCATATATGATTAATAAGAATCAAGTTAATAACAAAGAATATTCTTAACCTCTGAAACACTAGATGTTGGTGTTTATAATATATTTGTATTCCTTTCTTAAGTACATTAAAGACAAATTAAGCTGATATTCTTTTATAAACTCATAATATGGTAAAACCCAGTAAATATCTTTTTAAGGATCTTCATTTTGATTTTAAAGTCAGATGAACAATAATACAATGTGTGATAAAAAATGGTGAATTTTAAGTAAAAAAAAATATTACATTAAAAGACACATTGCCATTAATCCCCCTCAAAATACTTACTCCTCACTTTGAACACATTTATCCCCTCATTCTTGTCACTTTCTGAAGCAGTTCGGGAAGTCCTCTTTCATGCGTGTCTTTAGTAGTGCTGTCATGGCTGCCTCAATGTCCTGAATCAATTCAAAATGTTTACCTTTCATGGTCATTTTAACTTTGGGGAAGGTCCAGAAGTTGCACAGTACCAGATCATGGCCACTGCAGAATCACCATAAACTAATTTTAATATTTTGTGTGTTTCTTTAGCACTTTTTTGCAGTTTGAAACAAATTTTCATGTGTTGTTCATGATCCAAGATTTATGGCACACTTTAAAACACACCTTCTTTCAACCATAGCTCACACCCGACTGACTGCACAGAAGAAGTTGAAACTTGTCACACACTGTTGCTAAGGTCCCACATGTTGCTTCCCATGTTGAAGATCCCTGCCTTTCCCTTGGATGACACTCAGCAGCAGCATTCACTGTAGTTTTTTATCCTACCTTGTATCTTCAAAGGTTAAGACACATAAGAGTTGGTTTATCTCATTACATCCTTTTCTGGGTTCCTAGAGAATTTTTTATGTCAAAGCAGATGGCATTTGGTGAGCAAATGCCTGAAACTTAGATGTGTTCACCAGAGGTTCACTTAGCAATGTTTCTGTGAGTGCAGAGGGAAAGTCACTTGTTTGCGACAGCTTTTCCACTATAAGATCATGTTAGTCAGCAAATTGTACATGAAAGGCTACTAATGAGGTTAGTAAGAATGTCTGCAAGCTCCCCAGTGAGGAATATGTCTAGGAGAATAAGAATAAGAAAAGCACAGTGTACCTGGACATTTCAAAAAGGCGGAAAGGAGAGTTTGTTACTTTGTTTTGGATTCTAAGGAATTATTTTAAAGCAATCCCATTTGTTTCTACTTCTGCTTTTCCTCTAAAACCATATACCTCTTGCCTTTGCCTGTAGAATTATTTACCCTCTATAGTTTTGCAAAATCTGCATTGGCTGACGGTGACCTTTAATGAAAATGAAAGTACAAATAAAAATTTTCTGTTGCCTATATCAGGGTTCAGTCAATACAAGTGTATTCTCAAAATGCAAAACATGTTTATGAAAAAAAAACAGATTAAAGAGTTATCCTTTTTTGAAGAATAATATTAATTTTGACATATGGTATTAGTACAAAAATTAGTATGGTATTTATAAGATGAACTAGATAGTTATGATAAATTTAAAATGTTTATAGTACTTAATTTACATGGAATATTCCCAAGCATGATTTAAATTATGTCATCTTATCCTTTAGGTCAGTGGTTCTCAACCTATGGGTTGTGACCCGTTTGGGGGTCGAATGATCCTTTCACAGGGGTCGCCTAAGACCATCGGAAAACAAAAAGATATTTACATTACAATTCATAACAGTAGCAAAATTACAGTTATAGAGTAGCATCGAAAATAATTTTATGGTTGGGGATCACCACAACATGAGGAACCGCTGCTCTAGGTCCTTCCAAATTCAAAGATACAAAAAAAAAAAGGATATTGAAGTATAACTTATAGTTTGAATAATCCATGATATGGTTTTTGATCTCCAAACAAAAGTGCATTTAATTAAAAAAACAAAACAAAACAAAAAAAACCAAACAGCATTTCTTAGACAAAAATGATATTCATTAATGAGTGATGTTGAAAAATACAAAATAGAAAATAGTTAATCTTAATACTTTAATCAATTAAGCTAATATAAATCAATAATTTTTTTAGCCACAGGATGAATTTTCCTTTGCTTTATAAAAGGAGTCTTGAAGGAGCATAAGAAAGGCAAAAGGCTGATGTTTCAATAATTGTATATACAGTAAAACCTTGGATTACGAGTAACTTGATCTGTGAGTATTCTGCAAGACGAGCAAATATTTCTAATAAATTTTAACTTGATAAATGAATGATGTCTTGCAATATGAGTAGTACGTGTCGCCAAACATCACATGATCACAGCTGAGCCAATGGTTCCTCTCTCTCACCGCGGGATTCTGGGTGATCGTCTCCCATGCTTGGATGCTCGGTCTCAAATGGCAGCGTTTGGCAGAAATCAGTGATTTTTCAGAACATTGGAAGGTACTCACAACTGACGCTAGTGTATTTTTTGTTACTTCAAAGCACCTATAGACAGTCCTTTGCTTTTCCATAGAAGAGTAAGCTTAGGAATGCTTTGCTTCATTCTAGGTCAGGCTGCCTGCAGATATAAACTCTTTCCTCTGGTGCCTTATTGCAAATTACATTAAATATAGTATATGACAAGGGTTTCTTAATACTGCCCTATAGTCAACATCCATGCGAGTATATACAATGGCCCCCATGCAGTAAAGGGTTGAAAAGAAAGGCAGTAAGAAGAAGGACATTATTGAGAAGTACGAACAAGGTATGTGAATGGCCGAAATTGCAAGATTTTATAAGTCTATGATGACCATTTGCACACTATTAAAGAAGAAAGAAGAAATAAGGGGGTTAGATGCAGCAAAAGGAGTCACAAGAATATCAAAGCAATGGCCACGTCTTCTGGAACATGTAGAAAAGTTGCTTCTGTTTTGGATAAACGAGAAGCAACTAGCAGGTGATACTGTGACCGAGAACTTTATCTGCGAGAAGGCAAGGAAGGCCTTGTACACCGACCTCGTAAGTAAACTGCCAGGGACATCAACAGAAAACAAAGAAGTCTTCAAGGCAAGTAGGGGATGGTTTGATAACTTTAAGAGGAGAAGTGGCATCCATAGTGTTGTGAGGCATGGAGAGGCTGCGAGTTCGGATGCTAAAGCAGCTGAGGCGTTCACTACCGAGTTCCAGAAGCTCATAGTTTCTGAGTGTTACCTGCCAGAGCAAGCTTTTAACTGTGATGAGACAGGGCTTTTTTGGGTAAAGATGACAAAAAGCATCTACATTACAGATGAAGAGGATGCAATGCCTGGTCACAAGCCCATGAAAGATTATCTCACCCTCTTGTTTTGTGCTAATGCAAGCGGGGATTTCAAAGTCAAGCTCCTGCTTGTGTATCATTCCGAGAAACCACGAGCCTTCAAGAAATGCAAGGTGCAGAAGAGCCAGTTGAACGTTATGTGGAGGTTCAACAGCAAGGCTTGGGTCACTCGTATTTTGTTTGTTGAGTGGATCAATGAGGTCTTCGGTCCTGCAGTGAAGAAACACCTTTTAGAAAAGAATCTGCCACTCAGAGACTTGCTGGTTATGGATAATGCTCCTGCTCATCCTCTAGGCTTTGAGGACGACATACTGGAGGCATTTGTGCTCATTAAGGTCAAGTTCCTTCCTCCCAACACCACTCCAATCCTCCAGCCCATGGACCAGCAGGTCATTTTGAACTTTAAAAAGTTTTACACCAAAGCAATATTTCAGCAATGATTCGAGGTGACAGAAGGAAGAAACCGTACCCTTTGAGAGTTTTGGAAAAATCATTTCCACATTGTGAATTGCCTCAAGATCATTGATAAAGCCTGGGATAGGGTCACTAAGAGAACCCTCAATTCTGCTTGGAGAAAACTGTGGCCTGATTGCATTCTTGGACTTGACTTAGAGGGGCTTGCTCAGGAACAGGAGACGCCAGTTGTCGATGAAATTGAGTCCTTGGGGAAGACCATGGGACTGCAGGTGAATGAGGAAGACATTCAAGAGCTGGTGGAGAAACATGACCAGGAGCTGACCACTGACGGACTGATGGATTTGCATCATGAGCAACAGCAAGAGGTTATGGAGGAGATCTCTGCAGAGGAGGAAGAGGAAAAGGCAGAGGAATCCCTCACTTCAAATGAGATTAGGGAGATGTGTAAAATGTGGGAAACAGTGCAACATTTTGTGGAAAACACCACCCGAATAAGGCTGTAGCAGTGCGAGCGATGAGTCTGTTGAACGACAATGCAATGTCACATTTCTGCGAAATTCCCAAAAGGAGGCCAAAGCAAGTGTCATTGGATAGATTCCTTGTTAAAGTTGCATGAAAGAAAAAGATTCCATTGAGCCAATAGATAGCGGTGATTCTGTTAGTGACAGTGAGTGTCGTCCTACACAATAACCCTCCTCTTTCTCGTCTCCCTCACACCAGCCACGAAGGTTTTCAAAGTAAGTGCAGGTTGTTTATTTTTCTTTATATTTTGTATTTTCTTTATTATTTTGTATTATATTACAGTATTGTAGTCATTTTTATATTAATATTTTTGGGCTGTGGAATGAGTCATCTGAGTTTCCATTATTTCTTATGGAAATTTGCTTTGATATACAAGTGCTTTGGATTACAAGCATATTTCCTGAACGAATTATACTCACAAACTAACGTTTTACTGTAAATCTATATAACTTTGTGTCTATATTTACATTATGTAATTATATGTCAGTTTTGTACAGTATATGTAAGATGATTTTTATACTGAGTTAGAAGAAAAATTCAAAGGAAAAAAACATTTAAAAATCATATCCCTCTTTTACAAAAATTATCCATAATGTCATGTGACATAAATATTCTTTTAAAAGTGTTTTCTAGCACCAGGCAGACTACAACTATTAGTAAAACTCATAGAATTTACCACTACTTTCTGAGAGAATGTTTTTGTTCCAATTCTCAACTAATCATATGCATTTGATATCATGAGGTTTCTACATGGTAAGCCATGAGTGATTACTAAACAAATCTAGTCTTTATCACCCTCTGAACACATAGCATCGACTTAGACTGCTATGGATTGAATATTTGCTGAATGTAAATTGCTTTGAGATGTAGGAAAGTACTATGTTTCCTAGGTGAACAACTTGCTCTTTTCAGGCTTTGGCTAACTGGACTTCTGTTATCAAATACTTTTGCAGGTAGAGTATAAAATCATATTTTAAATTTCTACCAATTTTTGGAGATTGTTAAATCCAAACTTAAGGACACAAATATTGACTTATACAAAATCCACTTTATTGGCATTGTAAGTTAATATTAGAAAAATGTTTATTGTAAGTAGAAAGTTCTTAGAAAATGCCATTTTCTGCCATTAATGCTGTCATTAAAAACAGATATCATTTATGGAGTGTTCATTCTTTGCCAGTCTCTAATCTAAGTAGTTAACACAGATTAATTCATGTACCCTTCACAACAAATCAATGAGATAAATACTATAATAAGCCCATTTTGCAAATGAAGGGGTTGATACACAGACACAATTCAGACAGTGAAAAGCAGGGCAAAGTTTGCACTCAAACTCCACAGGCTCTCTGTTTACATCAGTTTGTCTCGCCAGTTCTCCGATATTATAAGAATTGTTATTGTTGTTGTCATTATTATTATCATCCTCCCCCCCACCTCTGCCCCTTAGATGGATCTAGAGTCTTAAAGAGGAAAAGAGGAAGGAATTGGTTTTTTGTTTGTTTGTTTTTTTAAAGATTTTTATTGGGGACTTAGGGGATGGGAACAGTGCTGGGGAATTGGGGGAAGGGGAACAGACAAGTTGCTGTCCTTTTGTTCTTCAGTCTAGTTGTGGAGGACGTTGCTTCACTGGCCCAAGTTGGCACCATCATTGCTCTCTTCCTGGGCGAGGCAGATCAGTTTCCGGCTTCTGGCCGCTCACAGTGGCTGCTGGCCACTCACGCTGGCTGCTGGCTACACACGGTAGCCCATGGCAACCCACTGCAGCAGGGGCTGCAGCCTGTGCTATCGCCGGTGACTCACGGCAGCCCAGTTCCAGATTGAGCTGTTGTTCAGCATCTTAGCTGTAGAGCGCAGTGTCACTGGCCCTCATATGTGGGATCCAAACCGGGGCCCTCTGGCGTCCCCAGCCAGCTCTTGACCACCATGCCACTCGGCTGGCCCAGAAGGAATTTTTTTTAAATACATGTTTCTAGGGCAACCAATCAGAGATAAAGGGAAACTTTGCAGATCTGTGGCTTTATATGAACCTATCAATCAGAGAAAGATCCAGATTAGGCAGTGTGATTTATTGTGTTATGTACTTTAAAAAGTCCACCAGCGCAATAAAAATAAATATTTTATTTTTGGGAGTGGGAATGCATAGTTGTTTGTATAATAGTTGGTTGAGGAAAACATAGGCCTTCAAATTCCTTAGAACGGTTACCTGGTGCTTCACCAACTGGCTTCAGCCATATCTCACAGCACACCCTCATATATGCATATTATGCCCCACATGACAAGGGCTGGGGGGCTCAAGGAGGGGTGGCGAAGGGTTACGAAATCACAAGAGTCAAAAGTAGAGCTTCTGTGGGCCAGGGGTCTCATCTCTGCAGACCAGAGAGGGAGCCCTGATACTGGTGGGCATAAAGCTTTAATTTACAACGGTCACAAAGAGGTTAATTTGAATATCTATACCCAGTTAATTGATTCAGTTAGACTGGCAGCTGCTTCACCGAAACTCATTGTGATTAAGCAGGAGTTGTGATTTCACACATGCGTATGATCCCTGGGATGGCATCACATTCTGAGACCACCGAGAAGGAAGTTTTACCGAGAGCGTTCCCTGGGGTCTTAGCATCCAAGACACTCCCTTATGACTTCAAAGGATCAGTGTGCAGGAGCATTTGAGTGGGCAGCTGCAAGGTGACATATGCACCCATCTCCAGATCTACAGCTACTTGGTACTTTCCAAATGTGAAAACGTACTCTTAGTGTTTCCTTCATTTACGTGAGACAATACCTGTTCTTGGGAAGGCTGTTCATTCATTTCTGTGTCTTAGAGCTTTTCTATAATGTAGAAGATCATAGAGGTATCCATCTGTCTCTATCTTGATGGTGGTATGTATCGTGTCACATTGTAATTCAATTGATACTTACTGTATCATTTATCTATCCTAAGTACTGGAAGTAAAGATAAAAGAAATAATTCCATTCCTTAAAGGAGCTTAAACTCTAATAGAGTGAATAAAGGAGTAAGCAGACCATTTCAGGTTAAATGAATACTCTTGTTAACTTGACATTTATAGGATTCATGTGGAAATGGATCCATTAAGCTGTCGATGATTGATTAGTAATGCAGGAAGATCAGACAATTAATTACTTTTATTCAGATACTACTCTGGTTTCCTGATACCATTTTCAATGATGTGTATCAATCAATCTCCTAATTAAAACTGCCTTTTTGTTATCTTTAATATAAGAAGCTAATGTACCAACTTAACTGCAAAATTAGGCCAACTTAACCAGCAGGCTGGTACTGGTCCAAGTACCTAGGTAAAGTCAAGCCCTTTAGCTCAGTATGTGTCAAAACTAAGATGGTGTTTTATTCCTGAGATGCCCTTTCTTTGTGTTAGTCTTCAGTTTATTCAGAGTCTAGACAGAGAAGAGAGTTAATGTTTGTTAGGGGTCCTGAAAGATACCAGCACCGAATAAAGAGAAATAAAAATTAGGTGATTATTTTGGTAGGGTGTCATGCTGGTAAATTTGTGTAGAAATAGAAATGTGTGCATAGGCTTTAAGTGAAGTTGGGCTGAAAACTTGGACTTTTGTGGAAAAATGGGGCATTTTTACCTTGGTGCTATGTAGATTTTAAGTCTATTGGTTTTTTGCAATTTAATTGAGGCATAGGAAATATCTTAAATATTAGGGTACCTAGTATGTTGACATTGGCTTTATTTGTAGTTAAGCGGTTGCTTCTATAGAGCAGTGGTTCCCTAAACTAGCAGCATCCATATCACTTGGCCATTCTCCATTTTGGCTGCACATTAGGTCACCTGGAAGCGTCCCAGACCACTTACACCTGAATTGTTATCACCAATCATCTGGTGGCCTAAAGCTCACCAGGTGATTCCAATGTGCAGGCAAGGTTGGGAGCCAACGCTGTAGAGGTATGTATGGGTTGGGCTTTAAGCAAAGATGTGGACCTCAGGCAACTTGCAGCCTCAGCAAAAGAAAAGATGCCTCTGTGTGGGGAGCAGGGGCAAGAAGCATAAATGAGGCCAGAAAGGAGTGTCAGTTATAAGTTTTGGGGGTCTGAGTGCAATGAACTGAATGTTTGTGTCCTCTCCATATTCACATGTTGAAATCTTAATCCCCAGTTTAATGTTGGAGGTGGGGCTTTGGGAGGTCATGAGGTCATGGGGTGGAGCCCTCATGAATGGGATTTGTGCTGTTATAAAAGGGACCCAGTGAGCTCTCCTGCCCTCTTTCCACCATGTAAGGACACGTCAAGAAGTCAGCTGTCTGTAACCCGGAAGAGGACTCTCACCAGAACCCGACCATACTGTCATCCTAATCTCGGACGTCCAGCCTCCAGAACTGTAAGAAATACATTTCTATTGTTTATGAGCCACCCACTCTATGGTACTTTGCTGTAATAGCCTGAATGGACTAAGGCTTAGTAAACAGGGACTGTTTCATTGCTGGGCCATATATTCCTTATAGGCAGCATGGCCAGAAGCTGTTTAGCTAGCACAGACTTCAAAATGCAGGCTACCATGACTCAATATTCAGGAACAGTATTTCGTAATTAATAGATGTGGTTTAGGCAGTAACTCAATGATAAAGTAAAGTGGTCCTCTCTCTAGATTTTGCTGCTTGATTTTAAAGTACAAGGCATTCCATTTAGCATCTATTACTTCCTACCTGTGAAGCATTGCCAGGTTCAGCAAATAAATCAATAGTGTGTTGTTTAAATTGTATGTAAAACTAAATACTATTTTAGTATAGGCAAATAGGTGTATGTCCCAAATATTGCATGGGACATACCTATTATACTAAAAAAGGTATGTGTTATTTATCTGAA